TTTTGCCTTTTGCCGAGTCTCTGTGCAAAACCGTTCACATGAAAATGTATTCTGCCTACATAAACAGGTCTATTTTCGTGCATATCAAATTCAGTTTCATGAGCGGTTTTGCTCGAAGACTCGTTTTGAAACAGAGGCACAGGCTGTCCTATTATGAATGGCGTGTTGATACAGAGAAGTTTTGTAAAGCTCGCTAGCTTAACTTGCATTTGTGATAGGTTCATGTTTTGCCATCAAATAAAGAAAATAACAACGATAATAGATTACATTCCAGAGGTCAAAATAAACGAAAAAGGACAAAAAAGAAAGCTGACGATTTATAAAGATTGTGACACTATGAGCAAAACACTTAAGCGTAAATTTACGGTAAACTCAATTGAAATCACAAAGACATCAGTGCAAAAATACTTGTATCCACAATATACAAACCTATCTTCTTCTCTCTTGGAGAGTAAAGGAATTTTCCATAACGGAACCCCAATCCACTTTCTTTGTTCTATTTCTCTCTGCAAAGCAAGGAAGAAAATCATGCAAATCACGCCATTAAAGTAAAATCCTAAAGGTAACGGTGCCCTTGAAGTACTTCATTTTGTTAGTAAATACTGCCGTATGCGTAAACTAGGCGACCCACCCATCTCACCGCATGTCACGGCTGCTCTTGGACGACATAAACTAGTTACATAAAATGCGTTACAGTAACGCAAGCAAGCATTTGAAGAGTTTCCACTACAGCGAAACCTGTCTTAAGCGGACACCACCCCATCAAGTGCCAAGCTTTTCTTCTTCTATTTTTTGTAATGCGAACCTGTGTTAAGCCGACACATCTTATGGCGGAACGACTGTTTTGTAGGGAGGCACATTTTTTAATTAGCCATTTCCGAGTTGCCTTTTGCCTCTGCGTGTCAAAACGACTCTTCGAGCGAAACCATTCACAAGAAAATGTGTTCCGCCTACGTATTCATTTTCATGCACATCAAACCATTTTCATATGAAAGGTTTTGCACGAGGACTGGTTTTGAAATAGAAGCACCAAAGTAACTGGGAAATGGCCTAAAAAAAAACGTTACGGTCAAACCTTTTCTCGCTCAGCCTTTTCCCGCGCTTTTTCTTTGACCATGCGGTTGACAAGGATCTGTCTTTTCCACGGAGGTAGCAGACTTAGTAATTCCTCGTTCACTGACTGGTCACTTTTCTTATGATGCACTCCACCGGTCACGTGACCAAAATTCTGGTATCTTATAGGGTGGCTGTCTTGGGTTTCTTCGCCAATCACCTCGGCATCTTCATTTTCACTCTGCTGATGTACTGAGGTACTTCCACCTTCCAAAGAATGAACTTCCACAATAACGCTACCATCGTTTAGCGCTGAATCATTAATGCTGACATTTTCACTACTTGGTTCAAAGATTTCACTAAGGTGGGTAGTTTTGCTGGCTTTCTTTTCATCAAACTCAACGTCTTCGTTCGGGTCTTGCAACTCTTCAGCTTTTCTGTTGGAAGTATCTGGCAACAAAAAGAACAGACTTGATTTACGATAAGTTGGACGTCCGCCCTGTTAAAATTTAAGAAGCTGGTGTTTTCGAACGTCAGGTAAACCCAGGTGAAAATTAAAAAAAGGCGCTGAGTGTAAAGTTGTAAGAGAATAAACGTTGATTGTACTAACAAGTGACGTCTTCTTTAACAGTAATCTACGTTCTTGATGCATGATGACAAAGAAAACGTCCATGCTTTCTCCCTTCTCCGTCAGTACATTCTGTGACATCCATTTTTCTATTTTCGAAAGATCAAAGGCATCTTCATGGTAAGCCCTCCTCGGAGATTATTCCTTGCAACAAAGTGCGACATAAATCTGTCTTTTTGATGATGTTATGTGTTTATTTTAAGGACAAGCTTGTGAGAAAAACACGAGCTGGATCATGAGTATAAACTACGAACCATTTATTTCAGTAAAACAAAACAAAAGAATGTCGCTGAGTTTACAAGTGAAATCTGAAGAATAGTTCGTGGATAAATTGACCAATATCGAGACTTCGGGTTTCATAATCCGAGCATATTTCTACTACTTTTTCTACCTTGGTCACTCTGATTACTATGAAGTACACACATCCTAAAAATCACCGCTTGCTGCGTCACAGACTACACAACATAATGGAGTCTCTGAGCAAGAATTGAATAAACAGAAAGAAAACAGTGTTTTTTCTGGCGTTACGTTCAGTATATCTGTTGTCTTTACGTTCGTGGTAGCCTAGCTAGTTTGGTTTTCTCGTCCTTCTTGACTTCCTTCTGTCTTGTCATCACGGATTTGATGTTTAGCCGGTTTAAACGATGCAGAAAACATTATACTGGGTGGAATTAATTAAAAATGTGCAAAGTACTTTGTTGTCGATGTTCTTGTTGTTGATTTTTATGTCGCTTTTCTTGCTGTGGTGGATATTGCTGTTGTTGTTGTTGGTTGTTGTTACTACCGCTTTTGTTATCAATGTTGTTGTCGTTATTTCTCGTGTTGTTGCCATGGTTGTTGTTTCTGTTCTGTTGTTTTTGCTTTTGCAGTTGCTTTTGTTTCAGTTGTCGTTGTTATTGCTGTTGTTGTCGTTGTCCTCCCATGCAATACAGGACAGTCTGTAATCGTTATCTAATCAACACCAGCCCTCGACAGTCCTTGGTTCTGTTCAGTACAGCTGGGCAAAGTCCAAAGTCAGTAGTAGAAGTGTCCATGATCACGTATGTTGATTAAAGACGTGTAGCGACTTGACAATTGCAAAAAACAAGACATTTTGTAAAAAAAGAGAT